TTCATAAGAGACATGCAATTCCAGGGCCATTTCACGAGTGTGTTGCCTTGGGTTAGACTCAACAAGCATCTTCAGAGCATCAATATCAATTCCAATATGTCGGCTCCTGCCATCACAGTTTTCAAGGCTAAAGTCACCTGAAAGAAATTTGCTGAACCATTGTTGATACTTACGAACGTTCAAAAGATTTCCATAAACTTCTTTGATATTTTTTGTGGCTACAGAGGCGTTGTTTCCCTTCCTGTATTTAAACAGCATTACATGCCGAATGTGTGTCTCGTCATGTGCCATCACTATAATGGATTAGAGTATACTAAACTTTGTACATTATATAGTCTACACTAACGTGACGTTTAGGCGGTTCGTTTACCTATTATACCAGATGTACGTTTTTTGGGGTGTGATTAATGAAAATGTTCCAAATCGTGACATTAATTTCTTGACGACCTAATATTTCACATGTTTCTTTCCGTTTTACCAAAGGTAAAATTCAAAAGAGAATCTGTGACGTAGAGGCCTAATGTTTTCTTTGATTGGCCGTATCCTCTGCTGTGGACTGCAGTTTCGCTTAATGAAAGCTCATCAGCGCAACTTGAGCTGGCAAATCAAACTGGCATATTGCAGTTCACAGCAGATGGTACAACCAATCAAAGAGAACATTAGATCTCTACGTCACAGATTCTCCTCTCAACTTTACATTTGGTGAAATTGAAAAGAAACCTGTAACATATATATTTAATCATTAACTACTTGGTCCGATATATAATGTGGAATAATGATTTAGGCACGAGCTCTAACATTATTCAAATACCTACATTATTTTAGGTTACAGTGGGGTTGTATAGCTTAAGCATTTAATGTGTGCAGAATGTAATTTCTTCGCACGGGTTATCGTTACTCTACCCACACAAATACCACAGGGCGATATGGGGAGGAACGCCCTTGTATCACAGCAGAACGCCTGCTAAGACTGCTGTATTTACAATCACATCAGCCAGGGCAACCAAACTGTAAACAACCACAAGATTCTAATATCTACCCAGTCAACGAAGTCTCGGAAAATTAAAACCATTCTATTAACTCATAGGTATAGAGAAAACTATTAGGCTGGGCTAGAGCGCATGCTCATAGGAATTTCATTGATTTAGATTTAAGTATTCTTCACTAACGAAAAGCACTTTTGCCTGGATGTCACAAACAGTTTTACTAAGGTGCTAAGGTTTCAGAATACTGCTCAGGAAATTTCGTAGAACAGGCAGGAGTCAGATTACATGCAGGATGAGCCTCTGATTAGTCAGACATGGATCCCTGGCAGCAATGAAGTACTTTGAGTAAATGCGAAAATCTTTTCCTTAGATTCACAGTTTATTTTGATGGACGATAATACTATTCATCATACTAAGCCTTAAATAGGTAGACAATCAAGCTGATAATTCGCCAACACGATTCTCGGATCTTAACCTCATCTGTGGAACATACTTTGGGAGGCAGCGCATCAGGTTCAGCCACATCATCTTCAGAAATCTAAATTTTTAGTATGAAAGAAAGGAGTTCTTTAATTGCACAGAGATACGGGATAGTAAATTTATTGCCCTGTTTTCACATGCGATACTAATATTATTATATACACTTTTTCAGCACGACCATATTTGGTGGAAACTCATATTTTAGTAAACAATGTGCGATACTCAAATGGTGGCGTATTTAGGTCGTTTGTCTGAACATTTTGTATAATTTGTTAATGATAATCGTGAAGCAATGATGTTGCCTGTTCCTTGAGTACGGTAGTTGAGTTTGCCTGTTCCTTGAATATGGTAGTTGAGTTTGCCTGTTTCTTGAGTACGGTAGTTGAGTTTGCCTGTTCCTTGAGTAAAGTAGTTGAGTTTGCCTGTTCCTTGAATGCTGTAGTTGAGTTCGCCTGTTCCTTGAATGCTGTAGTTGAGTTTGGATGTTCCTTAAGTACGGTAGTTGAGTTTGGATGTTCCTTGAGTACAGTAGTTGAGTTTGCCTGTTCCTTAGTACGGTAGTTGAGTTTGAATGTTCCTTGAGTACAGTAGTTGAGTTTGAATGTTCCTTGAGTACGGTAGTTGAGTTTGCCTGTTCCTTGAGTACGGTAATTGAATAGCAACTAAAATATTCTTGTCTAAATTTTCTGTGATTCCTGACAAGTTGTGAGCAGTTTGCGTATGCATTATTAAGTAAAACCATTTAACAGGGAATTTCTTGTTATTTGTCGAAAGTTTGAGCTCACATTTATCTGATAATTAAATATTTAAATTTACTAATTTCAAAATTAATTCATATCGGAAAAAAAAATCATTAAAACAACAAGGTTTAGGATATGGCATCCGATTAAACATCGTCATTCTCACTATTATGCTGTAATTTTGAACTTATGAATGTAATGAAATGCTTCTGTTAATTAATAATATAAAATTCATCCCGATTATTAGAGTAACCCTCACTAATATATCTGCTTTCTTCCGAAGTGTCTGCCACCAACTTCAAGTCTTACCAGGATGAGATGCCTAAACGGTACGTTTTCACTCTTGTGTTTATATTTTCTCTTGAATTACTAACCGTTTTAAGTTCTCATTTTGATGTCCTGTTAGGAGATTATATTTTCTGTCTCAATGCCTTATTTTACTAAATTTTTTATTGTTTTTTTCTCCATGACGCTTTGCTGACCATTTTTGTTTCACGCTCATTTGTCCCATTTGTATTCTCATACATTACAGCAAGTTTTGAATTTCTTTGCATCCTTCAGTACTTGTTTTCCTTTACGTTTTTCACTATCTTAATTATCTATGCCTTTCTGAACGCCGTTCCTACCTGCCTCATTTTTTATATTGTCCGTTATTGTGTCTCGATCTTTGTCAATATTTTTAAAATTTATATAGCGTAGTGTCGTTTACTGCTCTCTCACAATCTATTTCAAAAGCTTGTTTAACTTCAAATCAGAATTATGTACTTAGATATAAAATCGAAAAAAACAACAACAACAAGCTGACGCCGATCGGTGGGTATGTCTTCGCGAGACTCTAATGATTACGAGGCCCGGCATGGTCTGGTGGTTAGGGCGCTCGACTCGCAATCTGAGGGTCGAGGGTTCGAATCCCTGTCACACCAAACATGCTCGCCCTTCCAGCCGTGGGGGCGTTATAAAGTGACAGTCAATCCCACTATTCGTTGGTAAAAGAGTAGCCCAAGACTTGGTGGTGGGTGGTGATGACTAGCTGCCTTCCCTCTAGTCTTACACTGCTAAATTAAGGAAGGCTAGTGCAGATAGCCCTCGTTTAGCTTTACGCGATATTCAAAAACAAACAAACTAATGATTACGAAACTAAAGATAGCTTTAAACTAACAAAATTCTGCTTATATTAAATTTTAAGCTTATTCCTTTTGTTCTATTGTATGTTTTGCCGTTCGATGTCGTAAGTTATACTCTTCAGTTACATATTATTTTACTAACCCACTTAATTCTGCTTTCTGTGTTCTTTTCTTACTTGTTAGTATTCGCGTTACTCGCGCCTCACGCTGTTTGTTATTCCATATTATTTCTTTTTTTGTTGCCTTACCCAACGTTTCAGTTCTGTCCTGTTTTGTGTTTCTATTTATTTTACAGTCTACCTTATGTTGTCAGTTAGGTTTTATGTTATGTTTAAATATCCATTTTCTTAACCCATTGTCTTATGTTATTTGTATATTTGCATCTTTCTTTATTTTACCCATTCTTCTAGGTTGTTTTTTTTTACATTATGCATTTATATCTTTATTTATGTTAACTACTGTTTGAGTTATTTTTGACATACTTTATGTTTAAAGCTTTCTTTGCCTTACTCGTTGTTTTATGTTTTTTTTGTCATACTGTGTTTTAGCGTATTTTATCTTACCTGTTGTTTTAGTTATGTTAGTTACACTGTGTGTTTACATCCTTCTTTTTACCCATTGTCTTATGTTGTTTGCTTCTGTCACATTGTACATTTTCATCTTTCCTAACCATATTCATTGTATAATGTTGAGTATTTATCACACAGTGTGTTTACATCCTTTTTCTTTACATTTTCATTGTCGTCTACTTATTTTCACACGAGAGATTCATCTAACCCATTGTCTTATGTTGTTTGCTTCTGTCACATTGTACATTTTCATATTTCCTAACCTTATTCATTGTATAATGTTGAGTATTTATCACACAGTGTGTTTACATCCCTCTTCTTTACATTTTCATTGTTGTCTATCTATTGTCATCTTATCCATTTTTTTGTGCTCTCAGTATTTTCATGACTTTCATCCTTTGATTTTTTACTGACAACTCAGAAACGATATCCGTTTTTCTGTCGTTCTGTTTGTTTTGTTTGCATAATCACTATCTCATTTTCCTTTCTTATAGCCCCCCCCCCCAGTGACACAGCGGTATATCTACGGACGTAAAACGCTAGAAACCGGGTTTCGATAACCGTGGTGGGCGCAGCACATATAGCCCTTTTGTGTAGCTTTGTGCTTAACTTCAAACAAACAAATGCTTTTTTTTACTTTTTCTTCTATTTTTCAGTATGCATTTTTTCTTTACTCACTGTGTTATATTGTCCTTGTTTTTGTACTGTGTGTTGTTTCACCTCCAATTAACACTTTCTTTGTACTGTTTGCTTTTCCTATTTTCACACATCTCTTCCAGATATTTTAGTTTCTTTTAGCTCCGAAAATATGAATCACTTCCATTACAACAGTGTATAAATATTAAGGAGGAGTGTGTTGCGCTAAGAGTATTTTCAATTTGGCATCAGTTCCTAAATCACAGCGTTGATACGTGAACTTTAATGATTTTTAACCCTACGATTTAATTTAGACGAACCAATTTTTACCTAAGTAACCCTGGAAATGATTTTGTTTGTTTGACTAGCTCGTAGTATGCTTTTACATTATAGGAAATACAGTTACTAAACTCTAACTCCATTGTACATTGTACGATGTGGACAGCGTAGCTCAGTGGCTTTGGATTTGTAGTTAGATAGTTGCGAGTTCGAGGCTGGCTTGTGTCCTTGAGCAAAATACTTTACTTCACTTGTTCCACTCTACCTAGCCATTGTCCTCCGTGGGGGGAGGCAGAGGTAAGTAAACGGACTTATAACGCTAAAGGCCGGAATTCGGTTCCCCATGGCTGACACAGTAGAGAGCCCAATCTGTTCCCCAGTGGCTCAGCAGCAAGTCGGTGGGCTTTTTTTTTTAACGCTATAAATCGGATTTCGATTTCCCCACCCCCTTGAGCAGTGCAGAGATAGCTTTCGATTTACAGTCTGCGGGTCGCATCCCCGTCCCCGAACATGATCGGCTCGCCCTTACAGCCGTGGAGGTCGTTACAACGTGACGCTCAATTCCACTATTTGTTGGTAAAAGAATAGCCTAAGAGTTGGCGGTGTGTCTTATTGACTAGCTGCTTTTCCTCTGGCCTATCACTGCTAAATTGGGGACGACTAGCGCAGGTAGCTCTCGTGTAGCTTTGCATGAAATTCAAAACAAACCAAAACCAAAGTCAAATCTGCATGGATATTTCCTTCTGGGCGAGAATGCTTTTAACGAAGTCACAAAGAACACATCAAGATAGTGACAATATTCACGTGAGAGATATCTTACACAGCTAGAGGGGATATACATTAAACAATCAAAGATCAAGTTCAGTTAATTACACAGGCCTGCGATGGTTTTATTGTCTTGAAATTTTTACATGTTCTACATTAATTCCTGTACGCTGAATCCGTAAATCATATCCGGTTTTCTTCATCACGTTCACATTTTTCACAATACACAATACACAAAAGAAACGTAGTTTTGAGACTAAAAGACGTAGATTTCACACACACAAATAATCAGGATGAATGAGGATGCATGTTCGTTTCCCTTTTATTCAGTTTGTTTCTATTTTTTGTTAACAAACATAATAATAAAAGAAATTTTCATTGTGATAAAAGAAATAATAATTTGATCTAAGTCAGAATTTTTTTCCTCCCGATTTGTAAAAATGCGATAGAAAAAAAAATATTTATGCGTTCGAAAAAAAAATATTATTTCCGAAATCTGCGTAGCTGAGTTATAGAACATCCGTTATTAAAACCAAGACAACTTTTATGAACTTTAAATTCGCAGTCCTGTGTTATTTATTAAAATGCATGATAACAGCTGATAGTAAACAGCCAATCACATATATTATACAGTTACAGCTAAATTCATGTTTATTTTATTAGAAAGCAACCGTCTCCACTGTTAAAACACGTTAATTTTTACATGTTTAAGTGTTTTATTAACCGTTTATTCATGACTGATTTGGCTTGATGACAGAAAGATCAGTACTTACGGTAAGGTTGTGGCGATCGGATATTAATCGTTGTCATGATTAGTAGCTTATAGGTCTGATTATTAATTAGTTACTAGTTAATTAGCACTTACTAGAACATAGCACCATAGTCTCTCTACCGAAAGGGCCCAAGATCAAATTAGCTAGCGCAGATAGCCCTCGTGTAGCTTTGCGCGAAATTCAAAACAAACAAACATATACAGGCTTTTATTTTAGGATTATTCTTATAAGAATAACTCATAAAAAAAATAACAGCAACTGTTAATAAACCTCTTTTATCACGCGCAGTAGGAACAAATAGTTATAATAATACAGTGTAACAACATGAATTTGCCGTCCCTAATATGGCAGTGAAAGACTAAAGGGAAGGCAGCTAGTCATCACCACCCACCGCCAACTCTTGGGCTATTCTTTTACCAACGAATATTAGGATTGACCGTCACATTATAACGTCCCCACGGCTGAAAAGGCGAGCATGTTTGGTGGGACGGGGATTCGAACTCGCGGCCCCCAGATTTCGAGTCGAGCGCCCTAACCACCTGGCCATGCCGGACCTATTCATTTGAAAAAAAACACATTAATCTCAGCCTTCCTCAATGGGCGCAGCGGGATTATGTGTTGATTCAACCATAAATATGAATACACACACTGTCTGTACTGTGGACGACGTTTGGTAAGATACCGGCTTCACCTAAATTTCATGTTTTAGAATTTCTTCAAATTTCAGCATCCCGAATATAATTTTCTATGGCAGATATCTGACACAAAACAAACGTATCCATTTCTCTTCAACTTTGATATACTCACTTTACTATTTTACAAGAGCCTGTAGAACATCGGAAATGCATTTTCACACACACACACAAAAAGACAAAGTAACGAATCCATTTCTTCTACACTTCAAAATGTTTTTAAAAAAAATTCACACAACACACACACAAATAGGATATATATATATACATATTATATCACACACACATACGTATATATACATTCAAAACTGACACAGTCTAGTGACATATTCTTTAGTTTTTTCACAATTGTTAGCATTTTTAGAACATTCAACATGACAATGTCCTTATCTCATTTTATTCTTCTTGGAAACAACACAAACACTACTCGAAAACATATTTTCTGTTTAAAAAAATGTTTCTTTTTTTTACCATTTATCTGTTGCAAATTT